ACAAGCAAAGTCGATGGAGAAACCAGATTCACTTAACAACCGTGTTACTAATTTAACAATTGCAGTGATTCACTTAACAAATGTGGCAAGAAAAGTCATAAAATGGGACAAAACTCACTTCACAAATTTCTCACCTAGCAACATAAATTCTGGGCTCAGTTGCAGTCGTAAGTCGAGGACTATCTGTACAGTCCCCATTCTTTACCTTTATGGAATCAGAAGACCATATGGACAGAAAACGCAAACCACGTGCTGCGTGTATGATATCTAGAAACTTTAAAAAAATAGGTTCTAAGCTATCATGCCTTGTTTTCTGTGTGTAGCATTTGTTCGTTTAGGTTGCACCACATGCTTTGATTTTACATGTTGTGCTGTTTAAATACAGGGCTGCTGTGTTCGAAATTAAAACAGTATTTATGCATGGATTTGTCTATTCATAATGCCAATCAAACTGTTTTATACTGAAAGCTACATCTTCAAATATTTGCAGCTGAGACAATGCTGAACAGAAAGCAGCAACATATAGCCTAATCCTGGAATGCTAAAACTCAGGAACCTACAGTAGCTACTAACAATATTCTGAACTGATATGAAATCACCTTATAATATGGCTTCATACTAACAAGGAAATAATAATTTAATATTTGATAAGAAGCCAAAAGCTTTCAACAGATATATTGTGGAAACGGAGTGGTATAAATTTCATTGTTAACATTTATTTTTCTACTTTGTCATGCAAATGAACCCAGCACATTTTTAAAACAAATGCATTTTTCAAAACAGTCTTGCAGAATGCTAAACAGCATAGTCCTCTGCGTACAATTGACTTGAATGGGATTAATACAGAAGAATATGTGACTGCATTTTAACACTTTATGTATAACTGCTGTGAATTTTTAAAAAATATTCTTTTTCTCCACATAGTTTCTTAAAAATTTCTATACATGTGTTTGATAATGGGATGACATTAAAGCCTTTCTACACTAATGATTTGTAGCTCTAGAAAGTTTCCTCTCCCCCAGTTTGTGCATCACCTACATGACAAAACTCTCTAAGTAAGGGTCATATCTAATCTCTAAAGGAACTTACAATAGTTCATTTAGTGACCGCTTGAAGTTACAATGGCACTGAAAAAAGTGACATGACCGTTTTTCACACTTATGACTGTTGAGCATCCCCATGGTCACATGATCAAAATTCAGATGCTTGGCAACTAACTCATATTTATGACAGTTGCAGTGTCCTGGGGTCATGTGATCACCTTTTGTGATCTTCTGACAAGCAACGTCAATGGAGAAGCTAGCTTCACTTAATCATATATAACTAATTTAACAACTGCAGTGATTCACTTAACAACTGTGGGAAGAAAGATCATAAAATGGGGCAAAACTCACTTAACAAATGTTTCACTTAGCAACAGAAATTTTGGGCTCAGTTGTGGATGTAAGATGAGGATTACCTCTAGTAATAAAGCCTTCATTTGCTTGTCTCCTAGGACAGAGGTCCCCAACCTTTTGGTTACCTGGAGAGAGGTTTTTCACGGACCAGAGGGGGTGTGTTTGTGTGCTGCCTCCATCCCACAGATGGGGCTTTGTTTGTTTGTGTGAGCTGGTTACTGGCATGCTATAGCCCGGTACTGGTCCATGGAATGGAAGTTGGGGACCCCTGTCCTAGGAAATGTTTTTTCTAAACGGTGTCCTGAGTGAAGTCCAATAAAGTAATTTTTTTCCCAGCATCTATTACTACAGCTTTGAAATATCTTCAATTTCATTTTCATCCTCTGTGTAATTAATTCAGTATGTCACTATAGCACCTAAAATTTCCTCAACTCTTCTGGAAAGGCTCTACAACAATGTTATTCTATTACTACTTTCATTGCTTTCAGTGAATTAGCTCTAAAATATGAGATGCATTCCAAGAGCTTGCACTGTCTTCTCTCTCCTTCATCCTATTTGCTTTGGTAGCACAGAATATATTATAGAAATTATTAGAGCCATGTAGTGTAAATAACATTTTTAGAAATGTTCACCATTAGGCTGAATTACTGAGCATTACATTAAACAGATTCATCTATAATTGATTTGGTGTCACATTAAGATATCATGTTTTCAAGAATACAGAGTCCGACCAACTTCTTCTAACAAGAATATATGGTAAAATTTTGCTTCTTGAAATGATTTTGCTGACAATTATATTTAACTAAAGTCTTGTGCATAGATCCATGAACACCAACTGACAGTTTATGAATGGGGCCAATTCATAATTTAGAATAAGTATAAAGCAAACTTTCACTGAGCTATTGATTTATTGAGTTTTACACAATGAGTTTTATTCTGTTTAATTCCTCTAACTTCACTGCAGTTTCCTTTAGTGAAGTGAAATCCTAAACACAATATTATATTTATACTGCTTGGATACATATTACTTTCCCTCATGGCTTTCATTTCACTGTCATGAATTTTCAACTTTTGGAATGAGATTAATCTTTAAGTTGCAGTCATGTGAAACTCTTTACATCTGAAAGTAGTGGTAACTAATATACAAACTGCATGTATAATGATACTGAAACTGCACATTTTATTATTGTTCAAAATTTTTGGTATTGCCCAGTCAGTTAATTCATATTTGAACTATGGTAGGTTCTGTTGCATAATATGCCATTATATTTATGCTATCAGTATTGTGAGTAGCAATCACCAGCAAATTAGAAATTATATATTAGTTAGCTTAGTGACCCACTCAAATTCAAAATGCTTTCTACAGTCAAGAAAAAAAACTCAGTGGAAAGTTAGCTATAAGCTATTTTTAAGTATGTGTGACTCAGCGGATTCAGGTAACTTATTCTATGTGAAATTCAAAACTGAAAAGGAAAACTTGAAGAAAGTTTATACAGGTCTGAAATCCTATACGTTTGTGTGACATTTGTCTCTAGAAACCCAAGCCATAAGTTAAGCTTAGAATACCACTGGTTTTTCAGTATTTTGTAACAATACCGTTTTGAACAAAGAAAAATTAAAAAACAGTGCCCAAACTCCTGCATGGTTTGTGATCAAGTGCTGACTGGAGTTCACTAGACTATAAATATCTCAACAGGATTCATCTTAAACAACAAAAACAGGTGATAAACAACATTTGTAAGGTACACCAAAGCCCAAAATATAAAAATGATAGGTGTGCACTCTTATGGATGCACTAGACAGAAAATCACAACATTTTCTGGTATCCAAGAAGTGATGAAACATATCAGGCATACCATAATATCAAATAATTTTTTGTTATACCTCATCTGTCAAGCTATGAAGACTGCTTATGTTAGAACTGCCCTGCTGCTTCTAGCTTCCCTACAGTTGTGAGGGGGGAGGGAAAGGTTTCGAATGCACAGATGGATTCTATCCGATGGGAACCAAGGTCACCAGAGAGAAGTTGTGGCAACAGATAAGTTCTTCTCATAACAACTGCCTTAGGATTAATTGGACAATGTGACCTGACCTATGTCTGAGAAGAGAGGGAAAGTTTTACTCTTTTAATTATCTTTTCCCCGCCATATTGCCAGAGCTGGTTTTCAATTCAATAGTGTCAGTATGCTGTCTCTCCAATAAAGTTTTGCATTAGAGATCTAAATGGCTCTGGTGTATTTACTTTGTTGGAATCCTTAGCCAGAACCTTAACATCATCATTTCTAGATTATAGATAATTTAGAATCATTTGATTCATTCTAATGAATGTGTGTGGTGTTTGTGTGTGCGTGTGTGCACTTTCCATATTTAGGGAGATAGCTTCATTTTTGTGTTTCTTATTTATTATGAAATAGTAATATTCATCACAATTTTGTGTATTATCTCACTGTGGCTCAAAATGAGAATGTAAAATCTTCAAATCAGGACAAAGTATTTGATCGGCAATGTAGAATCATGAAAATTCTGCCTTCTTTACAATATTTTTTTCAATTTTTCAAACCCCATATAAAGCTTTATGGAAGCTTCATTTTCGCAATAAATCTATTTGTTTGTTTGTTTAAAGAACAATGATTCTTATTCCAACAAGCGTACTATTCTTTTTTTTCCCCTGGCTCTAGAAGTCTCTTCTGAGTCTTGCCAGAATGTATTTTTTCATTATCCCTTAAATGAACCTTCATTAGATTTTTGTAGGCAAACCTGCTTTTGAGCACCCAAGAAAGAAGTGTTGCTTTGGTTTTAACTATCTTTTTTCTTCACTCCAATTTTCAATGGTTACAATATTGTGAAGCCATGTAGTATCCTCTTTTTGATTCAGATGTATATGCCAAAGAAGTCCATATTCTTCCATGTGTGGGGATAGTTTATAAAGAAAGGGGGGGAATCTCTCTTTTGCTACCCCATGCCTTTATTTCAGTTTTCAATCTATTTTTCACCTGATCCTTTTTTTTTTTTTTTGAAGCCAAATAACCAATTTATTCTCCACAGTCAGCAGGAGAGCATCTACTGAGAGCCATAAAATGCTGTATAACTGCAGGCAAGTGGGGAAGACAAGAAAATGCCATATCATTTCTGATTATTTCACTAAAAAAAATGAAAGCCAAAATTTTTACAATTGTTAACCAGTGAACTCGATAGAAATTAACTGTATGAAAAAAGTAAAATTTTGCATCTTCATGTTTACATACTGAAAAATGACATTTTAGAGAGCAAGACAGGGCAGGTTCCTAAGGATAAAATAGCCAGTTACATTATTCTATCAGACTAATAGCAGAACAATTACTTTAGTTCCATGCAGAAAAAACAACTCAGTGTATCCTCAAAGAACAGATTCGTTATTATGGACTTAAAATAGACTGAACGGATAACTTAGTCAGATCTATTTAGTGTGTGATAATATACTATCAGGAAATAGAAAAGCTGTAGAATACACTGGTAAACTGGGGGGAAAGTCCTAGAAGAAAGAGGTGGCAATGGACACCATTTCCATATAGTTACGAAGAAAACATTATTGTCATCATTTTCTAAGGAATCAGGAGTTGAGTATGACTTAGACATTTTACTGCTTTAATGAAGAAGATTCCAATGTACAAAAGTGCCAGAATAAATTTGTTATTTTTTAAAATGACCCAATCTTTCTATCTTAAATGTTGAATTAGAAAGAAAAAAGTGAAAATTAGGTACCTTTTATTTGATAATTCAATAATGTAAAATGCACTTGTAATAATCACAGATTACTTTATGCAAAGATTTTCAAAAAAAATGATTGAAGAAGGAAAAAGTGGTTTGAGAATTTCAACTCAGCTTATTAAAGGAGACAAGCCCAATCAATTTTAATAATTCCAACTTCCAACTATGTTCTTAAATGACGAGCGTATAACACAGAGAAAATCAGCATTTAGTTTAATAAGTAAACTAACTAATAAAAATATATAATTAAAGCGCTAACATACGCCAGTAGTAAGTGAAACTTGAGGAAGTTGTTGCTTAGCACAGAAACATCTGAAATATTAAGTTTCAATGCTTGTTTAACAAAATAAATACATCTGTTCTGATTTGTCACTTACACTTTACTTAATATGGAACTTCTATATGCAGTATCCCCTAATAAATATAATTTAAACAAATACTTATATATGTAACAAAGCTTTCCAAGGTATATATTTAACACAAATTTCTCCAAATATATTGGAAATATATTGTTATACGTATTTTCCTGTATAAGTATTTTAATTTAATTATTGGGATATAACTTTTTTAAAAAAATTGTCTAAATAGAGAATCTTTAAAATGCAAATCACTATAAATTATACTTTTAATGCAAATTTCAAGTATATACTATTTTACATGCATATTTTGCAAACAATAGTGCTATGTGTGTACTTTTTAACTGGAGAAGGATCGATAGCATTGAATCTATTCAATGCCATGTCACAAAGGATTCCATTTTATTTAAGCTTTAATGCCTGCTCCCATGGAAATCCACGTTGGATTTATTTTAAATATGAATTGTACATATATTTGCAGGTGTTCCTGTTGTCATATCATCACTATATGATGTGTGCAACCAGAAATATATGAATATGCAACAATATTGTTAATATTGAATCATAAGTGCTTACATTTTAAAAATAGAATTATCATCATGGATCTTACGATTTAGAAATATGACTGTTACACAAGAGATGATAATTAAACAAAATCTTATTTTGAATTAACAGATCAAAAGTGATAGTGAAACTTCACTAGTTTACAATAAATTTTAAAGTAGACAGAAAATAAATATTTAACAAGAAATTCATTCTGTTGTTATTCTAAATTACCATTTTGGGGGTATGGAGAAACCGCAATGGCTTCTTCGTTAAAATTCCTCAGAGATTATTACATTGATTCTGATTTTCAAATACATGAGGACATTTTAAGAAATGATATAGCTATTTAACTATTTTCCTATATTAGTGTCACATTTCTGATTTTGCCTGGATTAATTGGATAACCATTAGTTCTTGAAGGAAGTTCTCCAGTTTGAAGTTTATTGTTCAACACCTAGTAGATTAAATAGAACACATTAGGTTAACAAGATATTACTAAATATTATCTATTCACTGTAAGTAATACAGTTTTAAAAATCAGAGACAGTAAATTTATAAAAACTTTGCCTATTTACTTAATAATTTGCTGGCTCGGGAATTCTGGGAGTTGAAATCCACGAGTCATAAAAGAGCCAAGGTTGCCTACCCCTGGGCCATACAATACTTGAATTTGGCTTGATCTGAAGTTTGAGCCTATCTATTTTAGCTTAAAATTATATACGAACCAGGCCAATAAATCTAACAAATTCAGAGGAATTAACCCCAGAAACTAGACACTTATGACTGACTGTACCCTTATCTTACTGGAAACTAAATAAAAAAATCTTTTATAACTGACTTAGCCATGACTAATTGTATCTTGACCAAAGTCCAATAAATTAAATGATCAATTGTCTTTCTTTCAGAAATATGATTCCTGAAAGGTGATAATAGACTTTTCATTCTTCAGTTGATTTGTTTGCCACATAAAGTGACTATTCTATATTCATGAGTTGACATTTAACATAGGATCTCTTGCCAAATAATTTTCAAAAGTAGTACTATATGTTCAGTAATAAGGGAATCATGTCAGAGAGACGTGGACTCTTTTGCATGCAGAATTTTAGGCTCCTATGTTATTGCTACTGAAAAAAAGTATTAAATAAAATACTAATGAAAATAAATATCAGTCCTTGGGAAATGACCAATGGAAAATTTAGTAAGAACTGTACTTTCTCTCATCCTATCTTAAAGCTATTTTTGTATTACTCTAATTTCTTCATATACATTATATTAATCAGCTGATAGTGGATTAGTTTCACTATATTGTGGTGCCACATTTTTATTTTATTTATTTTATTTTATTTATTTAATGTATTTAATTCCATCCGTATAGGAAACAAAATGCTTCCTAAATTCACAGAGAGCTGTTCCATGGCAAGCTGGCCATGGCAAGTTGATTGTGGCGAACTGTCATAGACCGCCCAGGGATTGGATATGAGTAAATAGAGATTTGTAGGAAACATCTTGAGAGGTTATAGGCTTCTTTATATATAGTTGTCTGATTTTTAAAGTAAGTAGGTATGAAATACCAATTTATACTTATGCTTGCAAGTCATCTTTATGAACTATGTTACAATCTCAAAAAGATTATTCCACTTACCTCTGATGAAGAGCTCACATTCAGATTTTGCTTTGTATCATAAATTTTGTGTCCACCTGGGAAGGAAGTGTGATCTTCTGCAAAAAAGAAGAGACATATAAGATAATAGTGGTAGTGAGTATCTAAAATGGCAGGAACTATAAAGGTAGTTCTTGACTTACAACAGTTCATATAGTGATTGTTCAAAGTTACAACGGCACTGAAAAAAGTGACTTATGACTATTTTTTTCACTTGCAACCATTGCAGTATCCCTATGATCATGTGATCAAAATTCAGGCACTTGGCAATTGACTCATATTTATGAAGGTCGCAGTGTCCTGGGATCATGTGATCATATTTTGGGACCTTCTGACAAAGTCAATGGAGAAGCCAGATTCACTCAGCAACTGTAATACAACTGCAGTGATTCACTTAACCACTGTGACAAGAAAGGTCTAAAATTTTAACAAATGTCTTACTTAACAACAGAAATTTTGAGCTCAGTTTTGGTCATAAGTCAAAGATTACCTCTACATTCTTTCAGACAGAAAATAAATGAGGATTTCCTAGAAACAAGGAAATAGTTTTTTATGGAAAAAATAATCTATACGTAGATTCAATTGATATTTTCTTAAAATGCTAGTAAACCAAAAAAAGTGTTCAAGTGATTCATAGCTGACAATATCATAATGTTTTGTGTGAATCAATAAAGTTGATAATATTTTTTATTATATTATGTTTAGGGGACAAAAAAAGGGGGTAACATATCTAGAAGCCATCTCATTTGTTTTCTGTGCAAAGAGCAACTAGGTGTGAAAAGATCACTATTTCTACAGAAACTTAGAAACTGGGGAAAAAGCAGTTTAACTTAAGGAACAGTATCTTTTTCAACTACTTTTCCATTTTATCTCCATCAAATGGGAAGACATGACAAGAAGCCTACATGGAACCCGACACTAAACAAGAATAAGACAAAAGTCCAAATTTAGACATAAATCTCCAGTTGGAAAACAACTCAGGATTCATAAACTAAATTTGAGTTATAGTTTCAAATGACAGTTTTGTTGCTTCAAAACCAATGATTTTTCCACAAATTGTGCACAACAAATCTTGACTTAGTGTTATATAATTACAGAAAAAACTGGGCAATCTAGCAATAGAAATTACTTAGCTTGCATCTAACCCCCATCACATATACAGCAAAATGTATAAACTATATAAGAATTTCTACAGGTGCTTTGATCATACAATCCATCATCCATTCCTTTTTCAAGATGCTGGCATGTACTATCAGTTTAGCAGTCCAGATTATGTTCTAAATAAGAAAGCAAATGCAAACTTGAAACTGGCTTCAATGCTTCTCTCTGCAAAGACTTGGATTCTGGGCCTATATCTAATTGATATATATTTTCTATTAGTTTCTTTTGCAACAATTTACTGGAAATATCCTTTTAAAGAGAATATTAACTTTCAGTTTTAGCCAGTCTAGTCCATGTCTTTAAATAAAATTTCTTTATTTCTTCAATTCATTTCTTCAGGAAGTAATTCAAATAGCTTACCTTTTTGCTACTCACTAGAATATATTGTAAAAAAAAAAATCAAGATCCATCTCATTTTATTTTAACTTCTCAAGTCATTTAATGTTCTAGGATTGTTATATCTGCATTTTAAAAACCCATGCCCAGCTGCATAGTTGAAGCTTCAGCCTTTTTTTGTACTGTATATATGGTCCATGTACAATATGTATTAAAGAGATGTGGCTTCAATTACCTATATGCCTGCAATCTTGACATCATTTTCCTAACACACACACACACACACACACACATTTGGATGCCCTGATGGCAGCAAAGCTAGCGGCTGTCTGGATTTTTATTAGCTTATATTAACCAAGTTCATTTCATTTGGCTTCCAAACCCATGTAAAGTGGACTAGGTACTGTTTTTTTTGCTACCATCTGATAATTGCCAGAATTTTTTCGGGCCAGAAATGATAGCCCAATGCTTTTTAAAGGAAAGCTAATATCTGGCTACTTTCTGACCACCAAAATACAACAGGGCTGAATTTAAAATGTGTATATGGAGTTCTATATTGAATATTCTTTTTTCATTTAAAGGTTACTTACGTGGCATTTGCTCTGCACTGTAGCCATAGTTTTCCTTTCCACTGTGACTCACAGTTTCCAAATTTCTACCTTTTTCTTTCTTCTCTGAAATCTTTCTAGAAAACAAAAATACCTGACATTGGCAACCAACTCATTTACGACATGTGTATGAAGAGAATATACTCCCCTCAGGCTTTGAACCTTGCAGCTTATCAAACAAGGTTGATACTGTGTAGAACAAGTGTTCTACAGCAAAGTTGGTTCCCCTACCCCCATTTCTGTAATATTCAGCTAAAGCCCTAGACTTAAGCAATTGCTCTAATTTGGAAGAGAGCACTTCATATTTAGTGATTCTCTGTTCTTGCGATTGAGGTTTGTACAAAACAAATATTGCTCAATACCAGACTCACATCTAGCTTTGTTAAGTAAAAAGTAGCAAAATATTTTTCTTTCTGGAAAATATAGTTTTATTGAAACCTAAGGAAACAACCAATGAATCTGCTACAATAGGAAATGTATTTCTTTGTCAGGATGTGCATTTGTAAGAAGTTGGCAGAGGTTTAAGGAAAGGCTTAGCCAAATATGAGTTGTATAATTTTAAGGAAACCATTGTGTTCCTTCCTCTCGAAATCTGGAATTCACTTGAAACATTGGTTGGAGTTACTATTGTGAACTTCCACTTAATTTTAATTGTATAACTTTAGGGAGGTTACTGTGTCCCTCCCTCTAAAAATCTGATGGGGAATCAATCTACATTGACATATTGATTGGAGTTGTTACTGTGAACTTCCACCTAAAGTCCAATGCTCATATCTGTAAATAAATGCAAATGTTGCAAAATAGAACTATGCTGGAGTCTGCCATCTGAAAAACCGTGATGTATATTATAACATTTGTATTTTAACCGAACTATGAATAAGGCACTTGAACAGCATCCAAATCTAATGCCTACAGTCAATCAACTGCTGGTGGTTTGTGTTATAGCAGAAAAGTCATTGCAAAACTAGATTTAGCCCAACAGTACCAGCATTTAGTGGCTGATGATGCTAGAGCAGATATCCAAACTGTCATCCCCATCGTGGGATATTCTGAACTGAATGTCTCCAATTAGGATTCTCTGTAACTCCTGTAATATTCCAATGCTTCATATAGATTCTACCTTCTGGAATCTTAGGTATTCTATCACACTTTGATGATGCTTGATTATTGGATCAACAATGGAGAAAGTTTAGTTGCTACTAAACTTCAGGAGACTGCACCATTTTGACAATTCTGGAATTAATACCAACCAAGTGACATTTTTTTAGAGTAAGTTGTCAGCCAGTTACATTTACAGAAGAATTACTAGAGCCAATTGGAGATTATTCTGATCATTCTTTGTGACCTTGAATGTCTATCAGTTCAACTTAAAAGCTATTTCCTGGAAGGGTTCTCCTTAACTAGATGGACTAAGAGAGGAGTGATGTTATGTATGCTAGGTGCAGATTAGGCTTACTGCAACTCATCTAATTGTGAAAAACTTTAGATAGCTTTAGATGGAGTTTTATGAGCAATCTTAGCAATTTATTCATGAAGTATAGTTGGGCTGGAGTCTCTATGTGTTATTTAAATTCTTTCATTACAATACTCCATTAATACACAGGTTGATTTGGGAGGGGCTGTTGCTTTTACTCTTTGTTAGCTTTTTAAAAAAATTGTATTTTCAAATGTTTGTTTCAGTAAAAAAAATGAAAAAGAAGAAAACTGTATTATTAATCATAATTCTGGGCTAAGCTTTCTTCCTTCCTTGGAGAAAAAAAGAAAGGTTTCAATGCACGTGCCTTTAAAAACTAAAGTCATTGGAAATCTTCCATAAAGACGTATTAAACATCCAGGATTCTTAATTGTGGTATCTTAATTAATAACAATGAACATTTCTTTCATTTTTAAAGTTGAAAACCCCAGAGCATTCTAACATATCATTTAACTTTCATCTCTGCAAGTGATTAAAACTCATTTTGCTAATTTGGAAACAATTTGTTAGCAAGCATTGCCTTTCAAGGGATTGTTTTCAAAGTTCTTAGAAAAGCACAGGATGTAACCTAATTTGCTTGGCAGTTGCACTCAGTGCACCACCTCCACCTTTCTCAGTTTCAGATCTCTTTCTGTAACAGACATTCTATACTAAAAGCCTGTGGAATAGGAGCATCAGTGCAGTGAGCTACTTAGGTACACAGTGCCCTCCTGTGGTATATGTATTGAGGATTAAACATGAAAGCTTTAAAAAGAAAGACTGGCTACAAAACAGATATTTTCTGAAGCCCTGCATTGAAATTTCTCTTTAAAGCATTTCTGAAAATTATATTCTTTTCCACCAGTTTTGAGAAATGCAAAACCTTGTTTTAATTATGATTATGTAAGAAACCATAGCTATCATCAAACACTTTATAATCAGCCAAATAAGGAGTGGTTATTCTTCTGTGATCAGAAGTTGTATTTACATTTTGGGTTGGGGATAAGAACAAGTGCAGCCATTTTATGAATTGTCCTGTTAAAGGAGCTATTTGCTTCATGAGGTCCCTGAAGCCATTTTATGTGGTCTCAGCATCTGCTTTGTTGGAAACACATAGAGACTGTCATATCAGACCCCCACAAAATAATAAAATAAAGCAGTATGTTTCGGAGATTTAGAGATGAAAGAAATTATTGTGCCACCAAGAATCTACATTTAGTTTGATCAGGGAAGATGAGAGGGATATGCAATAAAATTGGTTTATAGCATGGGCTGAAATTATCCAAATCTATGTAAAACCCCTGTTTTAAATTGATTTTATATCTGTTGCTAATTTAAACATGGTACCTAGACCAAAGATTAGCCATTTTTTTCCTCCATATACCATTCTCTATAATTTCTCCTTTTTTCTCTTTTGTTCCCCATCTTTTGTTGCCTGTGCTGAACTTTTAAGAACTCAAAAGCTTGCTCACTACTGAGTAACTTTTAATTGGATTAATAATAGTCCTAACATGGATTATGGCACTTGTCTTCTAGTCAATATGATTTTCAATGGCCACTGATGCATACAAGTTTGTATCATGGCAAAAGTTGCGTTCAGGATAAAAAGCAAAAGTTAAAACTGGAACAGCTAAGGAGAATTATCTCAGTTTAGTTGGCAACTAGCTGAAGGCAACATCATGAAATCAAAGCATGAGGAAAAATTGTTGGGGCACATTTGTCCTGTAGTAAAAAAAGGCTTACAGGCTCAAAAGATTGAGGGCCATCAACCTTGGGAAATCATACAGATTTCATCTCATTGCAGTTTACTGATATTGTCACTTTTCTATGTTGGGTTTTGGTTGTTTGTATTAATGTTAATTATGATCTTAAGCATATACAACATATGTTTTAGCATCAGTAAGGGAACTCAAAGTGATAATCATCTTACCTTAGCTCATTTTGATAGTTGGACTCTGGAAAAGTAAATGGACAAATTTTAGAATATAGCAAACAAGTATGTCAACTTACAGTACTAGGAAAGAAAAATCTAATGTTTTCATAATACCAGTCTCTTTAAAAGAAAGATTGATCCAGCATCTAATGAAATGATTTGCAGTCACAAGTATTCTTAATTATTTGAACAGACATACTTGCAGGAGGTGGTTGTGGACCTACACTCTCACTGAAATTAAAGCGAACTATCATTGTGCAGGAACCAAGAACTTTTCATTCATAAATCATGCATCTAGCATCAAAGTATACATTCTGTCTATTATTGACAAAAAACCCTACTCTCTAATGAATTGCAAATATGAGTTGCAATCTGATTCACCTACACATGGCGTGCAGGGTTTGGTGGATTAGTACCCTACTCCCTATACTTTCTCTCATATTGCTGTAATCTAATCATTGCCATAGATGCCAGATTGTAGTACAAACTGACTTTTTCATTTCAAGTCCACCCCTCAGCTTTGACTACCTGGAAGCTCACTCTTCCTTGCTGGCAAGACATAATTCTTTAGCAGAATAAAGAGAGACACAAAACATTTCAAGCACAAGCTGGAAATCTACATATCAGAGAGGGCTCATTCTATTGAGGAAGACATCAACAAACAAATCAATGATAAAGAGAGAGTTGCAGCAGCAATGGCGAATCCCAGTTTGCAGGAGATTGTGGGCCAGTGTGTGCTGGACTCTGGCTGACTTGGAATATCTGCCTCCTTTGTATCAACTTATTTATAACATTACCTTGGATTTATTACTAACAAATATTTTTAAAGAATCATTTTGAAAGTATCCAATTAATTGCAAACAAGAGTGAGCAGACCTGATCAATGTCAGATGAACTGTATAGAATAAAAAATTAATATTCTCTTTAAGTTGATTAAATATAAATAATTTTATTGCCATATGAAAAAGAGATTGGACATCTAGTCTGCAATGGTATAAAGTCTCCTGCTCAAGCAGTGGGATGGACTAGAAAACCTCCAAGGTCCCCTACAACCCTTCTATGTTCTATGAATGTTCTATGAAATTGTGTGAAAGGACAGATCCCTGAAAACCTCAAATTCAGCACTGCAGGAGAATCTGTTTGAAATGAATACAATGGCCACATTGTGGGATACTTAGTTCTTAAAAGTGAGGGTCTTTTTTTTCTTCAGATGTTGCTGCTATCCCAGTATAGAATACTAACTAAAACAGGGGTCCCCAACCACTGGGCCGCAGTCTGTTTGAAACCGGGCCAAGGGAGAGATGGGCAAGCAAGTCTGCAAAGCTACACTTGTGTGAGCAAAGGCCAAGTGCACACATGCAAACCTCTGTTTGCACAAGCAGAGGGCGCTTGCACTCCTGCATAAAGCTCCACTCTCTGCCCTCTGTTCACACATGTGGAGCTTCACACATATGCTTGCCCATCTCTCCCACGGCCTGGTTTTGGGGAGGCCTGGACTAGAATCTGAACAAAAACTGAGAAGATTTAGTTTTCTTTCTGTCTTCAATTATGAAAGCTTGGTATCTCTTAAATCAACGTATTTCATAGGGTTGTTACTTTACAGAAAAACTGAAGGAGAGAGTTTTATTCAGACTGCCTTGAACTGCTGGAATAATGGGCTTTATATTAAATAAACAAACAAAGAAATAACAGATCTGAAGTAATTTATTCCAATTTATTGAAGGTTTGATGTATAAACAATTACAAGCATTTAAGTGTATTGTTTTGTGAATGCTAATTATCTTTTTTTCCCTTACAAGTTATCCCTAGCCTGATTTTATCTTGCAGAAAAAAATAAAAGCACAGAAACATTTTTTTTTTTCATATAATCAAGCAGGGAATCTGTTTTTGGCACAAAATTAGCAGATTTAGATTTGTCTATTTGAAATTAAGGTTTAAGATGCAAAGCCAGTTCCAGAAGGCCCACATACCTTTCCTTCTTTTGCAGCAACATATAATAAGGAGAATAATAAGGATCAGAAGGAGTAAAAGAGCAACTGACAACACAACAGCTAAAATTATAGTTCGGGTTCGCCAATCTTCATTATCACATCCTACTAAATAAAAATTAAGCAATGTTAAACAGTACAATTAATTAGCATGAACATTTTAAAATGTTCCTAATTATTTTAATGAGTTCTGTGAAGTCATTCTTAATTTATTTCAATTTTTAATTAGTAATGTTTCTTAGTGCAGATTTCTGGAAATCCCAGATTATTCACCAATTTATTTTCTCTTTCATTACTTTTATTTTTCTTGTACTAGTTTCCAGTTATGATTTGTAGTGAATAAATTAATCATTACTAATTCCAAGTTTTGGACTTCTCAAGAAACTGAACTGTATAATGTAACAAAGGTTAATGGGGCTGGAGGAATTGTATGAATGCACTTTGATTTGAGTAACCTGAAACACGTTGCCTAAAAAGCTTCTTGGAAATCTTTTTATGCTTTTTACAGTGATATTTTTTATCATGAATAAAAAGTTTTCTTTATACCTTGGGCTTCTGTCTTTTTTTAGGAAGCATGTATTTTCATGTGAGCTAATTCATCTTTCTCTGTTTAAAAAAATCTGCTGCATCTATATTGTTTTCTGGGTTTCATTACTGTACATGATTTTTTTTAGCATTTCATTTGTTTTGGTTGGGCATGGCAAATCATCCAGAAAACATGTTGATAGCAGGCATATCAATTTGATAAATAAATACTGACAGCATGTGAATTTTCTGCATTGCAGTTGACATGCCTCCACTTCAACTTAATCATTAGAAAGACTATATATTCTCCAGCCTTTATTATATATGCGTCTTTGGAGCAAAATTGGCCTCTCATTGAAAAATGAATGATGTTTCTTAATAATCAGTTAAATAGTCATTCTTACACTTAATGGCATTTGGTTTTCTTCCAATCTGAGCTGTAGGATCCAAAGAGTGAATCAAAAAAGTCAGTATGGCAGCTGTAGCTCCACAGTCAAAACTCTGTCCTTTTTTTATATGTATCATGAATGTGGCATGTGTAAAAAAAAGGAGTGAAGTATCAGATGTATTAGTCATCTTGATTTCTCTCTCTCTCTCTCTCTCTCTCTCTCTCTCTCTCTCTCTCTCTCTCTCTCTCTCTCTCTCTCTCACACACACACACACACACACACACACACACACACACACACTGTTATCATTTCTGATTCTGGGATGTGTCATGCAAACTATGGTAAATTGTAGAATATGTATATACAAAACAATTTATTAACTTCTACAAAACCACTGTAATGATAAATATTCATTTAGTATTATACTAAATATTAATATTTAGTAAACCTGTGTGGAAAGTCAGCCTTCCCCCAAGAAAGAAATTTTGGGGAGGAATATTAAAAGGCAGAATATTATATTTCGCCAAAGGATCTTAAAGGCAGAACCCACCCAACCCCAATTCTCTCTGCCCCAAACAGAAACCAGGTCTGCAGAAATGCAGATGTGATAATCGTGTCAGAAAGATTGGAGCCAGGAAGCTGGGATTAGAAAGATAAAGATCCCTAGAATCAACAATCCCTCACAAAAATAAATAAATAAATAAATCCAACACTCATCAGCCACAGCCCCAGGGAAGCAGGATATGATCTTTGAGACATAATAGGATTAACCCACCACCATCAGAATACCAGAAAGGCACACTCAGACTCAGGTCAAAGTTCATGCCATAGGAACAACTCCATACAAAGCCCAAAGGAGGTATAAAAGCCCACCACACCCTGTTACATGTGGTCAGTTTTTCCCAGAGCCATCTTTCTGTCTGGCTCTCCTCTTCAATAAACTGCAATCTTTTTTCTAAAGCAGTCTCCACTTTGTTTATTCCCAGCTTGAACTGGATCCTGATGAAGATTTTTCTCTCAACAATGGGACTCCAAGCTAACCTCTCCAATGGACTGACCAGTAAGCCCCATCTTGCTGGCAACAGACCCCTTGTGTCTGTTGATGGGTTTCCCAGGCCTTACCTATGTGGAGCAAGGGTTTTAAAGGGAGTTTTGAATTTAAGCTCAAGAGCTGCTTTGGAAAGAGGGCGAGTACCTCTAAATTTTAACTTTAAAGCCCAGGGGACCTAGAGAAATGTGTGTATGTCTGCGTATGTGAGTTAGAAGACCCTTTTTCAAATCACACGTGGATTTTGCTCCCTCTGGCTTTTTCTAATTGCAGAAAGGATCTGTTCAAGTAACAGATGCTGGAAAGCATGGGGGTTTGGCCAGAGTGCAGGACCTTTTCTTAGGGAAAAGGGAGAGGCTGTTGAAAATGAAATGGAAAAATGAATGAGAGAATCAGATTTGGGCAACTAGCAGAACCCTGTTCTGGAAAGGAGATACTCTGAAATCACAGTGGATAGAGTCCTCCCAGGCAATTTGCCTGAAAAACTGAGGTTGGAAGGTACCTCCACTTGTTGGGGGCTGTGTATTCCATGGGCGGTGTATTCTGCAGGGACCAAGGAGAAAGCCTTGTAGTCTCACCATGGATGGTGAGAAAGAGCATGGGAAGCTCAGGATCTAGGATCCCACCGAGGTCTCCTTTAAGGAGGCTAATGGATGCCTGGGGCCGGAACAAATTGCCCACCCAGATGGGAATGTGTAAGAAGCGTGCATGCAAATTATGCAGGAGGGGACTCTGATCAGAGATGAAATAGGAAAAACCAATTTGGCTAAATAAAGGTACTTAAAAGGAAAATATATATAGGAACAGCTTCTATCTCTCTCTCCCTCCCCCCCTCTCTTTTTCTATGCAACCATGTGATATGTTTAAGATTTGTGCTTTCCCTAATTTGAGCTAACTGAGATTTATGGTGGGAATGACCAGGATGTGTAAAACTGAGAGTTCTGTTTCCTTTTCTGTTCTCTTTTCCTTGTCTTTGTTTGTGTATGTGTGTCAAAGTCTTTGTGTATGAGGTAAATGTAACTGTTGGGCATCTCTAATCCCTAGAGACAAGAATTTTAAAATTCTGCTTAAAATAAGCCACCAAAAGGAAATTACCCTAACTCTGTTTGTCTGGCCAGCAAACAGAGTGAATGTGTTTCTCTCTCTCTCTCTCTCTCTCTCTCTCTCTCTCTCTCTCTCTCTCTCTCTCTCTCTCTCTCTCCTTGTAAGAACAGACCAAAGTTGTCAGGAGAGAATGTTTTAAGTTCATCTACAGGAAAAATTTCATTCTTCCATTTTTGTATGTGTTGTAAATGGATTTTATCTGTCTATCCTTTTTCTGAAACATGAGGTATGTCTAGCTACAAGAGCCTCATGAGCTCAAGTTTGCTTGTGTAGGAAATAACCTTCTCCTTTTTAAGTTACTTTTCTTATCCTATCACTAATCAGTGAAACTACTATGAAACTAATCCTGGAATACATAAGCATTTATTTTCAATCTCTAATGTGGTATTTTTATCTAAATTGTGCATTGGCAATGCTGGGCAAAATGCTGTTGTGATGCTTAAATATTTTTAAAATAGATATAAAAGGTAGACTCTCCTGCCCCTGGCAAATTGCACACATATTAGACTTTTAAAATTATTTGGAATTTTCAGCATTCTCAAGCTGCCCAGCATTTTCAAGTTGCAAGTCCTTAAGTCCTCTTTAACATGTTGCAAATATTCAATTTCAAAAGTGAGACCTTTCATTTTTTGTTCTCTTACCAGAATCCAGCCTCTCTTTTGTCCTTATTTGTGGTGTCCCCATTTTATCTGCTTATTTGTTTCTTTAACAACTACCTGCAAGCTCTCTCCCATCTACTTCTCCATTACTTATTTTCTGTCTGATCACCAAAGCCACTCCTGGGAGTATTCACCCAGAAAGGGGGAAAGATATCTTGTTCTCATATCTTTCAATCCTACACAAATGACCCCCCCCCAACCTTTGGAAGCAGAGCACACTGACCCAGATTCTGCCTCCATCCATTTGAGTCAGGAAATGGGATTTGAATCCAGCCATCCACTAGAAAGCCACCATGCAACCAGAGTGGAACAGATCTTCCCAAGTCCTACCATCCCTCCCCCAGATGCCTGTGAAAGCTGCAGAGAAAGGAAGAAATCCTGGAACTATTGGCCCTCACATGAAGCCTCAGAAGACAACTGGAAAGAATATGGGGGGAGGGCAGAAACTCATTGTAAGATTTTCTTTCTTACCTCATTTGTATTGTAATAAGCCATTTGAATGTATTTATGGAGGGTTGGCATTTGGGAATGGTTGGCACAGCATGTATTGAACACCTAGGAATTCTGTCTGTGGGAAGAAAATTTGTCCAGGACGCTTGTATTGCCTGTTTTGTATGAGTAGCTACACACACACACAAACACACCATTCATAATCACACTGAGTCTATCCCCTTAACCTACCTCACTAAAGCTCCATACTGGTTCTTGCCCTGTGGCATTAAAGCTTTGCATGCACAACTTCTGGCAAATGCCAAGGGGGAGGGAACCAGGTCCCCTCAGCAATTTGCAATTCATATGCTCTCATGAGAAGGCAGCAGGAAAGAGATCACCAAAACCCAAGCCCTGAATATGTTGCATTGATGGACTCAGAGTGGGAATCCTAGGGCTCATTATGTGCAATTTAATAGCCTGGCTTGCACACTGGCTAACCTCAACTGGACATCAAAAACCTGGATGCACTGAGCTAAGAGCTAAAGCAGGCTAAGAAAGCAACCCTTGAAAATGGGCAGCCAGTGGTTATGTACTGAGGAAAAACATGGCTGTGAAGAATTTTGGGAGGCATGTGCAGGCCTGACTGGAAGCTCAAAGTGACATCCAACATTTGAAAATAATTAGCACAGAATATTGGACAATATAAATTTATTTTCCATCTAACAAAACTTTTGCCCTGACTTTTAAACCTTTATGGGTTGGAAGCTCCCCTTTTGGGAGCCACTGCAGGAATCTTTTTCTGCTGCTCCAGTAGTGTCTTCCTTTTTGCATTAAGAGTTTAAAAGCTTGTTTATTAAGTCTCCCTGACCAGATCAATTTTTAATCTTGTGCCAGTAAAAGTGTGTCACTCACACTCTTATGTCACAAAGGGGGGATTGTGGGAAGTCATTCCCCCCCCCTGAGAAAGAAATATTTTTGGGACTATTAAAAGGCAGAATATTATATTTCCCCAAAGGATCTTAAAGGCAGAACCCACCCAATCCCAATTCTCTCTGCCCCAAACAGAAACCAGGTCTGCAGAAATGCAGATGTGATAATCTTATCAGAAAGATTGGAGCCAGGAAGCTGGGATTAGAAAGATAAAGATCCCTAGAATCAACAATCCCTCACCCCAAAAAAAATAATAATCCAACACTCATCAGCCACAGCCCCAGGGAAGCAGGATATGACCTTTGGGACATAATAGGATTAATCCACCACCATCAGACTCAGGTCAAAGTTCATGCCACAGGAACAACTCCATACAAAGCCCAAAGTAGGTATAAAAGCCCGCCACTCCCTGCTCCATGTGGTCAGTTTTTCCCAGAGCCATCTTTCTGTCTGGCTCAATAAACTGCAACCTTCTTTCTAAAGCAGTTTCCATTTTGTTTATTCCTGGCTTGGACTGGACCTGATGAAGATTTTTCACTTAACACCTGCCAACCATATGTGGGAGAAAAATAATATTCTACCTGTTCCTTTTAGTTTCTGAAGATTGTGTTAGACAGAGAAAAGAAACTGACCCAGCTTGATGACTCTGGAAGGGAAGGAGACAAATAACAGAAACCAGACTGCTGCTCCCCCCCCCTATGAAAAAAGAGATCTTATATGGCTACCATAAAAAGCACTGCTTATGTTAGAGGGTGCTACTATCAGTAGAGGAGGATGGGCTTTGACCTTTTTAGAAATATAGAATTTAAAGTAACTGGGTCAGTCATGGCCTGTTGTTATTAGATGACACATTTGGGCTGCAAAGGTCACTGTAGGATTTGCTTTGCTTTCTTTATCATTTCTACATATCATTTCCAAGGACTGAGAACCAATAACTTTGCTTAAGTTTGGGGCCGTTTGGCATTCTTTTGGCCAGGAGACTAGTGATCTTATGCCAATAAAAGATCCTTTGTTGCATCTATCGGCAAATGCTTTGAGTCTTAATTTAAAGGGAACATGTTTCCTGCAATACATATTACCCCAAAAGATAAATGTTTTTATTCCACAATGAAGAAACTTGGTATTTTAACCCTATAGTTAAAAGATAAAATGTAAATACAGGTAGTCCTCCACTTACAACCACAACTGAGCCCAAAATTTCTGTTGCTAAGCAAGACAGTTGTTAAGTGACTTTTGCCCCATTTGACAACCTTTCTTGCCACACTTATTAAATGAATCACCCCAACTGTTAAGTAACACAGTTGTTAAGTGAATCTGACTTTCTCATTGATTTTACTTGACAGAGGTCACAAAAGGTGAACACATGATCCCAGGACAGTGCAACCTCCATAAATATGAACCAGTTGCCAGGCATCCAAATTTTAATCATGTGACCATGGGGATGCTGCGATGATTATAAGTATGAAAAAGGGTCATAAGTCACTTTTTTTCACTGCCATTGTAACTTGAAAGAGTCATTAAATGAATGGTTGAAAGTCGAAAACTAACTGTACAGGTGTCCTTGACTTACAAAAATGATTGAATGACCAAAATTTCCATTGCTAAGTAAGGCAGACTTTAAGTTAGTTGTGCCTTATTTTATGACCTTTTCTGCCACTGTTGTTAAGTGAATCATGCAATCATTAAGCAAATCTGGCTTCCCTATTTATTTTGGTTGTCAGAAGCTGGCTGGGAAGATTATAAATGATAAATGATCACATGACTCTTGTATAGTGCAACTGTCATAAATACATGCCAGTTGCCAAATGCCCGAATTTTGATCATGTGACCATGGGGATGCAGCAACTGTCATACGTGTGAAAAGTCACTTTTTTCAGTGCAGTTGTAACTTCAAATGATCACTAAATAAATGGTTGTAAGTCAAGGACTACCTGTAAAGCAATCCATTGGATTGGCTTTTTACTCTAAGAAACCCAATTCTCAACAAAGTGTGAAAAGCAATTAAAAATATGAGTCTACTAGCCCACCTTGTGTGCTTGTTGAAGATTTGGCTGCTAAGAAGTAAGAACTGGGAATATGAAGCAACAGGTTCAAAATTGGAATAGCAATGTGCTGAGGCTGTATACCATCATCTTATTTATTTAACTTACATGAATATTACATTATGAGAAATGCTGAACTAGAAGAAATGAAAAGTGGAATTAAAATTACTGGGATAAATTTCAGCAGTTCCTAATATGCTATCACTTTGAAAGATAGAAGTGATGGAATGCTTGTGGAATCTTCTTGTTGAAGATGAAAGAATACAATAGTCCATCTGTTGCTCTGTATTAAAGTAACTAAGATTGTATCAGCAGGTTACAGCAAATCAATACAAAAAAGTGAAAAAGTTGAAGTAGAACTAGAGTCAATTTTTCTCAGTTTAAACTTTCAAACTGTCTGGATGTTTGGTGTAATATTCAAATAGTAACCAATCATGAACTAAAGAGACTTCTGCTACTTGGGAAAAAAGACTGCCAGATTCAAACAGAATATTAATGTGCAGGTATTATGTCACACCAACAAAGGTATATTTTGTATACATATTATCAATATAATGGTTTTCCTAGTTTAGCATGACTGTAAAATCCAAAAAGCCAAATGAAAAAAAATGTATTTGAATTTTAGGCCTGGAAAAATTTGCTGAGAATACTGTGGACAATGAGAAGAACAAAAGACTCAATATTTGAAGAAGTAAAACCAAACTGCTCAATGGAAACATCAATAATAAAGCTAAAGTTTGGACATGTAATGCAAGGGCAAGGGTCCTGAGAAGAAACCACGTTGCTTGGAAAAATTGAAGGCAATGGGAAAAGAGCTTGATAGAAGACAAGTCACGAGATACTAAAACTGATGACAAGCATGAAGAGAATAATCCTAGCAAATGACAGATAATCCTGCACCATAAAGAGTGACACATATTTCTGTATAAATGGCCAATTTCCCTCAGATGTTCCTTGAATAATATAACATAACAAATGTTATCTAAAACAATAGCTATCTATTACTTTTCGTGAGAATATATCCCCATGACTCAGATAAAAATGAGTTAATTATACTTCCAGTTAGAATAGTGAAAGAACCTTTTTCATATCTTATTCCTAAAATGCCCTTGCAGTGTGGTCAAAAATGAAGATGGAGGCTGCCATGGGCAAGCCCCCAAAAAATCCTTTTTCCATGGTGGCATTTTACCACATTAACCCAAACGTTTTATTACTATATATTGCCAAAATGGTAATAGGAACATCTTCAAGATCAATCTTTATCAAACTGGTCTCCTCCAAATGGTAGATAAAAGTTCCTGGGGAAAAAAAGTTGTTTCTATGGTAATTGGAGATGATGAGAACTATTGTCACACAAATTTGGGAGGCAACAGATTGGAGAAGACAATTCCAGGGTTAATTTCACAGTTTACATAGACAAATTGATGCATCTCTAATGAGACTCATAATCCATGAACCTTGCAACACTGAGTAAACCAAATTTTGTACCTTTTATGGGTACATAGTAAGAGTGCATTAAAAATTTCAACAAATATGAACTGCACTGATAAGATATTCACTTACTTGGTGAAGGTTCATACACAGTTAGAGAGTGCATTTATGTCAGCTAAACAAGTCAGAGTGCTATTGGCCAATGGGCTCAGAGTTAAGATATTCACTGTATAAGCCATTTTATATCTTACTGTAGTTAAAAGTCTTATTAAGATAAGATAAAAGCATAAATGAGGTTTTCCTATTTGAGATGCAGTTTCAATCTGTCTGGATAAACAACTTGAAATCCAAAATAGTTTTTCAGAGTCCCTTGTGAGTTAGCCACACACTGTATATCCTCTGTAGGTAATCATTAACTTATGATCACAACTGAACCTTGTAATTATGGCTGTAAGTCATGGTGTTTGTAAAATTAATCATCGAGACAAATCTGATTGTATGACCTTTTTTGGGGTGGTCATAACATGAATGTGGTGGTTGTAAAGCCAACACAGTAGTTATTAAGCAAATCCATTGTTTGGTACAGCCTGGCTTTTGCCAGAAACTGGAACTTAATGCCAATTTCTGGCAAAAATGTCATAAATCACAGCTATGTGATATCATAACCTCAAAATCAGGTCATGAGTAGCTTTTTTGGGTGGGAGGGGTCCTTCATAACCTAAAAGAGTTGGTAGATGATCAGTCATAACTAAAATTCTATCCATATTTCTTGTCCATATGCTCCTTCATTCCCAGTAGCAGAACAATTAGCTCCTTGTCTAGCAGGGTATCAATATTTTGTTCTGCCCTCCTACAATTTTGAACAGCAAATAATGTACAGGACATGTACATACTAAAAAGAGAATATATGTTACAGATATGTGCTTCCATACCCAAGCCCTCCCATAGTAACAAGTCTCAGTTTTCTTAAATTTCATGGCCTTTTGCTTGCATGGATATAAAATTCTGTGAACGGAATTTTATGTCCAAGAGAGTCAGTGTAGTTCACAGAAGCTTCTGCCATCTCCCCCTCATTAAAATTTTGCAGTTAAAGATGCCACAAAATCTTCACAGTTTTTAACAGAAAAAATAGAAAAAAATCCAATTTAAAATGATTAATGAACAATTAACAAAGACATACTTACTTTGTACTGAAAGAAATGCATATCTATAGTCATTGTTCTGGAGGCTACATCTGATTTCTCCAGAATCTGTCAGCTGAACATTATGGATCATCAGCTCTGAAGTAAACCTGTTATCACTTGTGTTGGAACCTTTCTGAGTATATTGCTCATCTGTTTCAATAGTTCGTCCAGAACTCAACACAGACAGCTTAGGATTTCCATTGAAAAGCCATATCAAAATTTTCCACCCCTCTGATACTGTGCAGCTAAATCGAGCCACTGAACCTACAACAACTGTTAAATTTTGAGGGCCTTCTACGATGGCATAGGCAAAGCCAGGATCTGTAAAGCAAAACAAACGGTAATTAAAATTATACCAAAGTATTTCCTGCTTATATTGCTAGACTTGAACAAGAGGATAGGACTTGATAACATAGGATCAGGGTATAATATCTAAAGTGTGTGTGAACACTGAAGAATAGTTACAATCCTATTTGAACAAGGAAGATGGAAGAGACACGGATTTGGTAATACAGTGATAATATAGAGAGAACACAGATGACATACATGAAATGTGAAAGACTTTCTTATCCACGTTAGTAATAAAAACAAGCAATCATTTCACGTTACAAATTTGCCCTGTGCTTCAAGATAATAAAAATCTGGTTGCAATATGATTAACTAAGGCCGATCATTTACAGGGCAAAGTACATATTGCATAGAAATATCTCCTACAGTGATCTGTTGTCTCTTGCATAGAAAAGGCAAAGTTGTTTTGATTTTAAAGCCCTTTTATTATTTCTTTTCACACACACACACAAATAAACTCACACAACCCATATGGTCTGGGAACAGTTTAATTTTAAGGAAAATTATTATTTGCAAAGGTAATACTTCAAAGCAACCTATCTTATCTGGTAAGGTTTCACATCATGGAAGCATTTTGCTGCTCCCAGGATATTTAGTTTCCTTCTTTATATTCGTAGTTTATTAAAGAGGAGATTGGATGCTCCCTACCCCTTTTCTTATTTTGTCCCATTTACAGATCAAAGTGCAATGACCTTGACCTACCCTGCTGGCTATAAGCAGGTGAAGATATCAGAGTCATACTCTTCCTCTCTGCTTTCATTCTTGTGTGGCTGAGAGGATATCAGAGTCATTCTGCTTTCATCTGCACCAAAGCTGATTCTTGCTTTCAGGGAAGCTATTTGTTTATCAACGGATTAGAAACAAGCCGCAGTTATTTATGAATACTGATAAAAACATAATCAAAGGCAAACATGGGGTTGTATCATTTTGTACTTAAACAAAGATAGAAACTCTAGGAGTAAAGTTGGTATAAAATAAGAGTTCTCACAAAAGATAAATCATGACCCTGGGACACCTGGTTTATACTTGCCTCTCCCCAATCCTTCTGTGCCATATGCTTTCCCCCCCTGAAGCATCTATTCCCCATTGCCAAAAGGAGCCTCCACACTCAGAAGGCTTTATTGATGGTGAGGTCTAGCAGCATTGAGGAAAAGCTGCAGCTCAAGGGTCTTTTCTGCAAAATTGGGGGGGCTTGTTTGGCCAATGCTGCCCAGAAGCCGGGGATAGCGGGTGGGAGGGTTGTTGATTCCAGCCTTCTTTCCCATCAAGACTGGGAGGGGACACTGGGAACTGTAGTTCTTTAGAATTGAAGGTCTACAAAATCTGGCCTCTTTTGTGGATGATAGGTGGTGGTAGGATTTTATTTATTTATTAAGATAGACTTTATTCTGCCCTTTCCTACAACAACATTGTGAGGTAGGCAGAGCTGTGAGAGTGCCTGTGTCCCCCAGTCTTAATCCACCATATTGCCTTAACAAGCACCCCCAGAGTACTTGGATAGGAGACCACCAAGCGATCCCAGAATTGTAGGCTTGACAGGGAAGTCTTCTTGAGGCCTTGGCAGGGCAACATCTGTGATTTGCTTTTTCCTAGCACTATTGCGTATTTCCCAACAGGAGGCAGGGCCTCAATCTTGATGTCTCCCATCTGTAAAATCGGGTTGATACTACTTCAATGCAGGACAGCATCCTTTGCAGGAAAGTGAGAATTCCAGAAGGGCTTTCTTTATCACAGAAGCATTAAATTCTGGTTTTTTTTTTTTCTCCCAATGTTCCATAAATACTTTTAATTTATTAGCATAAATTGTATATATTAAATCTAATGAAGGTAAGTGTAAAACAGCCAGTAAACACTCAGATACATATATAGCATGAGAAAAAAAATAAGTACACCCATGAAAAAGTTTTTTTAACATATGGAGACATACTGTATCAATAATCTATCTTCATTCAAGCAACATATAAAGATGATGCAATTAAACAAAACTATAAAAAAGACTTTTCATTCACTCATGCAACAAAAAACTCAACAGATATGCCATTTTCTGCGTGGAGAAAGTAATTACACCCCTGGCTTGAATATCTGCTATTAGCTCCTTTGGCTGCATGCCCCCAGTACCCTCGCAATCCCTATAAGCCACAGGCACACAATCCCTGCCACCACCACCCAGTGTCTTTGAGATGCCTGCCAGACACACACCATCCCCTCCAACGTTCCTGCAATCCCTGCCAGCCACACGCATGCAATCCCTCCGCCACCCTCCGCCACACCTACAAGATGCCTGCCAGCCACCTTTCGCCCCAGTCCACCTGCAATCCCTGCTGCCAACCACCCTAATTGGCTGCCGGGAGGTGCAGCTATTTGTCCCATACATCGAATTACTGTGGTACAAACGTGCTCCAGGGAATTGGCTGGGATGATGGGCTGGGAGTGGAGGGCCACTGGCAGTGGAGAATCACCTGCAGAGGGCCTTTGGATGAGGAAAGACTGCTGTGGGTTGGCTGCGGCAGGTGGACAGGAGTGAATTAGGTGCAGAAAGTATCGGTGCCTAATCGTCCCAGACCCCAGTGAGAAGTTCCTTCTTCTGGGTCCTGCCAGATGTACCTCCGTAGGGGACAGGATCCACAACTTTAAAAGTTTGAAGAGCATGGAGGAAACTCAAGGCACAACGTAACATTATATCTTTAGTGTGTCTCTTAGTACCTGTCATGTTAGTGTTCAATGGGCTGTAGAATTACAGCAGAAAATCAGGCCCAAATCAAACATGTATTATGGCAGATATTGTGAGAGGCCTTATTTTGTTCAATCAGGGGAAGCATACTCTGGATCATATCTGTTAAGGACCATCAGCTGGTGGGCTCCTGGAAGAGAGCCTTTTCTGCTGTGACACCTCTCTGGAATATCATCCCTCTGGGACTTGGATTGACCCTTCTTTGTTGGCTTTCTATAAAGACTTGAAGACTTGGTTCTGTGCTTGAGATGCCAAGTTCCTAGGAGAGCCCATTTCTTGGTTGTGTTGAGCTGTTGAATAGTATTTTTGTAATTTTTGCAAGCTGATGATATTTTTTTCTTTTTGTATATGTGTTTATCATTTTTAATATTGTTTACTGTCCAGTCTATAATAATGAATAAATACACAAAGGATCATACCTGTTAGGTAGACCATCAGAGTGATAATCAGCCCAGTCCATCCCTGAAATTTGTCCATTGAGCAAGTTGTTTCCCTGAATGTGAAAAATGACAGCCATATAAAACTGTATATTATAAATTATACTTTTGTAACCACTTGAAACAGATACATTTAAAAAAAACCACTGATCCTTTCAACATTCTGAATAAGAAAGTGGTGCATGTAAACAGAACAACAGTATGCTGCTTATAAAAGGAAACACAGTCATTAAGTGATGTACTTCATTTATTTCAGGGGTACCATGAGAGATTAAGCAAAGAGTTTGTGAGAAGTTATACATCCAAATATATTTTTTCTTTATACTGTTTCCATCTTTCCTTAAAGTAGTAACAGAATCCACAATGGTCTGAGAATCAGTGTCTCCACTAGATAATTGGCAATCAAGCTGAAAGTAAGTTAATCAATTAAAATTACCAAACTTCCTCAAACCTCCAAATAAGTTAACTGAACCTAATCCACATATCAAAGGATAAGGTCTGCAAACACAAACAAAATTAAGTTAGGTCTCTCAGCAGAACTGCATGTTCACAAGAATACATATTTACACACACACACAGAGAGAGTTCAAGTATCACCCTAGAATTAGCACGCAGACTACTTTCACATCCTGGACAATCTACCCTTTTAAAAATCTGCTGTATCCCATTTCTCTGCAGCCTGCCCTTAAAGGAAAACTCTTTTGCTTTTAGGAATAAATATTTCTTTTTTCCTCACAGCTGTCTGGCTCTCATTTTTATTTATTCTTGCACAGCCCTGGCTCAACTTGGAACCCCAAATTATTTTTCTGACAAGTTGCATGCTTGGTCCTGTGCAAGTTAGTCCAAATGCCACAGAGGTTCAGTTCTCTCTGCATTCACAAAAGAAGGTTATAAATAGGATAGAAACTCATTCACATTCTCACATGATAAAGAACAGCCTGTTCAGGAGAGTCAACCTATAAAGTCTTTGATATCATTGAGAAGCTAGAGAAGCTAGATTTTTCCAGAGGTTAGATATGTTTAACCTAGTTGGTAATTAGCATTATATGTGTCATTATAAAAATGACACTTTTTATTGTTAAAAAATAGATTGCCATTCAGGATCTGAGTTTTTTAAAGTCTTTAAATTTCAAAAAAATATTTTAAAAGATTGCCTTATCAGTACAAGATGCTGACAACATAATCTGTTACATACCGGTTTATCAAGTCTCATTAACAATATCAGAAATATTGGTCACCTGAATGCTGTTTAAGGCTGTAATACTAACTGTTACAACCTGAAAATGGCATTCAGATTGTTAGTATTTTTGACAAACTGTGACAGGTGATTAGTGAAACACTGAGTGTGGTGACTGAAGGATCTTCCAAGATCTGCAAAATCTATGTAGATAATTGTTGGCAACCAATAATTGTGTACAGGTGAAATACAACTTGCAGATGAGAGATGAAATGTTCTGGTCGTATTTCATGTCTATAAGCCTATACTGTGTAAAGAATTGCTATTTTCTTTGTCCCTTTCCCAGCACATTAGAAAAATCTTCTGTAGGTGAACAAGTTGTAAGGCTGTTTTCACAGAGCTGTCCTACAGGCTAACAAAATAATCCTAGAACATTTACTCTAAATAATTTTCTTTATTGAATTAGGAATGAGGTGAGATAACCCTACTGAACACTTAAAATATTTTCTTTGAGCAAATGTACATAACATTGAAGCACAGGGTTCTCCAACCATGGCAACTTTAAGACTTCAACTTCCAAAATTCAGAACTCAGCATGGCTGCTTGACAAATTCTGGGAGTTGGTCCACAAGTCTTAAAGTTACCAAGTTTGGAGAGCCCTGTAGCATGCAAATGGCTTGAAAAAAAATATTAATCTAATGGAATTAGATTTCTTGCTTTTTGTAATTTTGATTTTGTAATTTCTATGGCCTAAACATATAATTGGTGATTGTAGATTTCCCCCCCCCCCATGAAATACATTTTGAGGCCCTTAAGTGTATCAATACAAAAAATTAACTTACCTTTTTAGTTGAAGACCATGGTTCAGAAAAGTTTGTCTCTATAGGAAAAAGAACATGATGTCTGAAATCTTTTCCATACAAATAGCAGCTCCAACAGGCACACAGTCCGATATTCTGAACATCTCTCAGTCCCTCCTCATAGTTTAACAGGAAGGTTGTAATAAAATACTTTATTTCAGCTTCTGGTTCCTGATTGTATAACTGCTGCAGTCACTTTTTATCTCAATAGATAAGGCCTGGAAATACAACCAATGTGTGTCTCTTGCTTTTTAATAATTAACAAGTATTGCAAAAGCATAAGGCAAAAGCAGCAATGAAACTATTTTTTAATAAAATCTCTTAAACAGTTAGAGCAACAGGGACACCTGTTGTCAAAACCATGTAATATTCTGCTCCTTTTATGTAAAAAACTGAAACGAATAGTCTGACATTTTCACAATTGCCATAAAATGTAGAACATTTCTTTTATAGTATTTCTACATAAAAATGTTGAATTGTTTTCTACTCTAGAGAATAGAAGAATTGATGGTAGAAACAAAAATGAAATAATTTTAGTGGAAAACTAAAATAGATTTCATTAGTTTTGCTTTTCATAGTTTGACAATCCTTCTGTGTTATGTGATAACAAATGAACAACAATATAGTATAGGTCTAAAATTGTATTTGTGCATTCAGGGCTCCAAGATCTAAGTTTCTAAAATTCAGATACCACTAGGTGGCAAGTAAGTTTCATTTTTCAATAATTCTTTTCCGCATCTGGTTGCTCCCATTGTCATCAGGAGTTTTGCAGCATAAATTTAGGACCTGTAATATATTTATACATTTGCCATCAAATTATTCTAGTTCAGGTTTTGTTTTTGTTTTTTAGCTTCAGGTTCCTATATTCTAAGAGTTAATACGTTCTTCTCAATCCCCTGTAGTTTTATGTCAATCTCACTGTTTGTGTCAGCAGCAATGCCAAAAACTGGTAGATGGGTAGTCCTCGACTTACAACCACAATTGAGCCCAAAATTTCTATTGCTAAGCAAGACAGTTACATGAATTTTGCTCCATTTTTCGACCTTTCTTGTCATAGTGGTTAAATGAATTACTCGGTTGTTAAGTTAGTAAGATGGTTGTTAAGTGAATCTGATTTCCCCATTGACTTTATTTGTCTGAAAGTCGCAAAATGTAATCACATGACCCTAGGACACTGCAAGTGTCAAAAATTGCCAAGTGTCTGAATTTTGATCACATAACGAAGGGAATGTTGCAACAGTCATAACTAAGAAAAATGATCATCAGTCACTTTTTTCAGTTCATATGTAACTTTGAACGGTCACTAAATGAATTGTAAGTCAAGGAATACCTGTAGTCTTCACAGATTTTAATACAGGACAATTCAATTAAAGCAATTGATGATACTTCTGTATTACAGAAAGATGAGAAAAACTATCCCTAATTAATCTTACAGAGAGAAAATTTTGACAAATAAGCAGAATACTGTCAAAATCTAGTTCCTTAGCAGGGCACAGGGGTTCTAAAAGAAAGAAAGAAAAATGAAGAAGCGTAGATATAAATGTTAATTATTGATTTTCTTGGAGCATTGACTCTGGTGGGTTTGGTTTGTGTCCTCTTAAATTGCATATTTTCCTGCATTAGTAATTATCTAGTGTTGTTTACTGGATCATTGAAAAACGCTGACCATTTTTGTTGATCTTAATAATGACATTGCTTTATGGGAATCTACTTTGAACAGAAGAACAGACAATATAAATGCTTTCGGATGAAGTTACTGTAATTGAAGTTAAGTCCACTTAACTGCCTGTGGCTATGGCAGTTACCCGCAACACTATAAAAATATACTTAAAATTATCAGTGGGGTTGTCATCTATATGGTCCAACCTACTATGTAGTAACTTAAGTGTGGTATTGCAGTTGGTAACACATTAGCTTGGTATGAATTCTGCAAATGTAACTGAATGTTTAAACAAAGGATTATCCTGTGACAAGTTTCCTAAATCTTGTGATTCTTTTTTTAATCTGGTCTACTTCAATTTGCTCGTCTGAGTATCAGATCCTTTTTTACCTTCCAAAGCACACATTTTATTTGCCTCTTAATAACAGACTGTTTTTCTGCCTACAGTTGAATTAAGATTTTTAATGGGAACTAGCTATCTGTAATGAAGTCCCAAAGTCTCATTGATGCATACAGGATTAATAGTACAGCATGCAGTTGAAATGCATGTTTGCATTAAGTGGAAAATAGTACTCTACAGTATTCATATAATGCAACTTTAATGATATTTAAATAATTTAATTCCTGCTTTGCAATTATTTTAATGGTAAAGCAGGATAGACATTTTATATAAACTAATAGTAGTATTTTGAAATTAATGCATATTCATTTTCTAAAATAAGCAATGCACGTGTTGCTCACTGATCTATACCTAATTCTATTTTGAAAACATTTTATGCTATTAATTGGCTGATCTTGAAAAACTAAGCAAGATCAACCTGGTTGTCATTTGGATGAGAAACTACCAAAAAGTACCAGAATCGAATGCAAGACAATGGCTAGCCACTTCCATATTGTTGTTAAGAAAACAGTATTGATATACTCATAACATCACTAGGAATTGAGTTTTATTCAAGGAAGATTTTATTTTTTTAACCACGCCCTTTACGTATTTATCCATGTGCAGATTTGGATAAAAAAATCACAATATTTATTTAATATGGAACTTGTGAATTGAAAAAAACAAATATCTAAAATAAAAGAATAAGGCTGCCCATACTTGGAAAGGACAGTGTGAATAAATTAGACATCACTTTAAAGAATGATTATAGAGAGATCCTTCTGGAATGAATTACATTAGACGCTAAGAAATATTAAGTTAATAAAATGTTGGGAAGTAAAGAATTAGAAGGAAAACAAACGTTTGACATTTCAACAACATCACACAACATAAATGGCTGTGTACTTTTTATGAAGAGGAGCTTTGTTGCATTTGAGAGAAAGAAATTTTTGGGAAAATTGATTTGGTTTTGGCATTTTTAAGGACTGACTGGTGGGGATATATCATACATTGTGCACTGCCCAGAGTCCCCTTTTGGAGGAGATGGGCAGCTAAATAAGAGAGAGAGAGAAACTTAGGGAGGGAAGTCATTGATTTTTATCTCTCTTATTTCTTACATGAAGTAGTAGCATCAGGCTTTATAGTTCTTAAAGTCTTGTTTGCTAAATAACATCCCTACTGTTACTACGCTATAAAGCTCTATTTGACCATGAAGCCATATCAAAAAGACAAATCTTTGTTTTGTTCCAGACACGTAAGGACCTACAGTACATTCCATTTGTCCCATTCTCTTTCAAATTTTGCTGCTGAGTTGATACAAAATGCTGAAGAAGCTGATGTAAGGTGCTAATGCAAATGAAGACATTGGGGAAAAAGGACCTGACCTTCCCATTCACAGAAAAGGAGTGTAAAAAAATCAAGGGGAGGGAATGAGCCAATAAGATATTGAAGAAAAGGGGCGTTGTCTTACCTGAACCCCTTTTCTCAGCATGAGGAATGTAGACTCCAAGGATGGGTTGATTTAGTCTTCTAGCCCAATCAGACCAAACAATCAAAGTTGCCACGCCTCTGCAGGGTCTGACCATGCCCCAGTTTTGAAAGGGCGAAGCGAATGATTGTGTGACGTGATGGCTCCGAACTGCTGACACTAACCTAGCTGCTAGTAATGATCAGGGAGGGGGTGGAGTCTACATTCCTCATGCTGAGAAAAGGCGTTCAGGTAAGACAACGCCCCTTCTCCAGCATGTAGAGGAATGTAAACTCCAAGGATGGGACATACCAAAGCCCTTATGATCCCACGGGTGGGAAGCAGGTTGGTTAAGTGTCGGTGCTGAAATGGACCACTTGTTGTAAAACCCGACGGCCAAAAGCGGCCTCCGCGGAAGCAAACTTGTCAGTTTGTAGTGGTGAATGAATGGTGAAAGGGACGACCACGTAGCCACCTTACAGATGTCCTCTATGGACGCTTGAGTCTGCCACGCCGCCGATGTGGAAGAGCTACGAGTAGAGTGCGCTGTCAGGCGGCTTGGGACAGGTAAAGAGGAAGCCTGGTAAGATTAAGCGATACAGGCCTTGATCCACCTGGCTATAGTAGAGGAGGAAACCTTCTGTCCCTTGGAAGTTGAGTGGAAAGAGACAAACAATGCCTCCGATTTGCGAAAGGAAGCTGTCCTCTTAATGTAATGACGTAATGCCCTACATACATCTAGGTAATGCCACTGCTTTTCTAGTGTGTGAGAAGGATTGGAACAAAAGTTTGGTAGTACAATGTCCTGAGCCCGGTGAAACAGGGTATTCACCTTGGGAATGAATGAGGGATCTAACCTCAGAACCACTCTGTCCTGATAGAAGGTACACAGGTCTTCCCTAACTGAAAGAGCAGCCAGCTCTGACACATGTCTTGCCGACGTGATGGCTACTAGGAAAGCCACCTTGTGGGACAAAATGTGAAGAGGACAAGACCTTATAGGTTCAAAGGGATACCTAGTGAGTGCCTGCAGAACACGAGGTAGTTCCCAAGATGGATACCTGTGTACTACCGGAGGTCTGGTGTTGGAGACTCCTTTCATAAAAGATCGGACCCTGGGATGATGGGACAATGGAGTGGTGTTGGCACAGGTGAACACCGTGGAAAGAGCGGCCACCTCTCTACGCAAGGTGTTGGGCGCTAAGCCTTTATCCACTCCATCCATGAGGTATTCAAGAATCACTGGAATAGTGACAGAAGAGATAGACAAACCCTTACAGGTACACAAGTCACAGAAGTTCTTCCAAGTGGCATCATAGATTCGGTTCGTCGCCGGCCGTCTGGAAGCTTGGATCATAGCTATCACCCTTGAAGAGTAAGATCCGCACATCAGGAACTGGCGCTCAGATGCCAGACAGCTAATTGTAGCCACTGTGGGTCCGGATGGCATATGGCCCCCTGTGTTAGAATTATCCTCTCTGGAGGGATTTGCCAAGGGGGGGCTACGGCGAGGTTCACGAGATCCGCGAACCATGGACGCCTCGGCCAATACGGGGCCACAAGGATTAGTTCCGCCTGTTCCTGTAACAGCTTCCTGATGACGGCCGGGATCGAGGGAAGGGATGGAAATGCATATAGAAGGCCCGCCGGCCAAGGGCTGCAGAGGGCATCTTCTCCTTCCGAACCCT